TTATTTTTGAAGCGCTGCCCTTATCCTTGCAGGAATGGGACAGTATCCTGAACCTGAGAAACAGCACAGTGCTGGTGTCATTTGGCTCCATGGCAAAATCGGTGCTCATGCCCGACGAGTATAAGTATGTTGCTATTTTTAAATCTCAGCAAGAATGCAACACACTAATTTGAAGAAGGAATGTAAGGCAGTCAGAATGCACAGGAGACGAAACTGTGTGAGGGTTACGCTGCTGCTCGGCCAGTACTAGTAATTCCTGTTGCGGATGCCTGTAGGCTTGCTTGTCGAAGGCGGGATATCCCTAAGATGCTTCAGAAGCAAAAAGAAAACCGCATCGCAGTTACTCTGTAATTTATGCTGTCTCTTCTGTAGTTGGCGGTTAGAGGAAAATAGATTTTCTGGCTTGCTTCGGCTTTGTTTTTCTACGTTATAACCCAGAAAAGATTGCAGTAAGCATTGTCAAGCGCCCAAGACTGATTCTTGTCATTTGCGTTTTCAAGCGTGGGATCACATTCTTGCGAACGAGTTAGACAGACACTGCTGTGGGGATGGTCCAGATACGTTGAGTTTTGTCAGCGAGGGTGTTCAGGAAAACTCTACTCGAGGTCTTCGAGAGTATGTCAGAGACGACGTTTATTTGGAAGTACGAAGAAGAAGGTTCAAAATTGGCAGCTCACCTAAAAAATGTATACCTCAGTCCGTGGGTTCCTCAGAACGCTCTGCTAGGTGAGTTTTTATTTTCAAGTGACCAAAGCAGAGCTAATGCATGGAGGTGAATACTAGCTGATCCTCGTCTCACTGTTTTCGTCACTCACGGAGGACTGGGCAGCACGATGGAGCTTGCGTATATGGGAAAACCAGCGCTGTTGGTAGGTTCTCGTTCTCATAATTATCATTTTACGCGACCCTTCCTACAAACAACTCCATGGCTTCATACAATTCCCTGTTTTTTTTCTGCAGATTCCTCTCTTTTCTGATCAAATGCGGAATGCATATATGATGGGGAGGCATGGAGGATGTATTGTTTTGAAGAGGAATGATCTGGGGAGTTCACAAAAGATAACGGATTCCTTGAGGACCCTTATGAGTGATGCCAGGTATATGGCTTCATTAGGGGCGTGAACATAAGCAAGAAGTTCAATTCTAAAAACTTCCAGTTATTCAAAGAATGCTGAGCGACTCGCTGCAATGCTCGTCGACCAACCAATCAGCGCAAAGCAGCTTTTCATTCGACACAGCGAATTCGCTGCCAGGTAAGTAATAAAAAAAGTAAACGGGTTCGAGTCGCCTTACGGATGCAGCAACCAATCCTTTCTGCTTTTTTTGAACTCCTTAAACTCCTAAACATGAGAAGGCTACGTTTCGCGATTTCGGTTACGCGAATGACTGCTTTGAGTTGAACTCACATCGCACGTCCACATTCCAACTTCTACACCTGATCGCGTACCGTGCCTTTGAGGGAGGCGGCTGCAAAGGGCTGCTGCTCTTGAGATTCAAAGGGATTCGAAAGGTATCGTGCAACTAAGCACAAGCTTCCAAACGTCAGCTATTGATAGCCCGCAACATGCGGCACAGCAATTTTCACTCGAGAAGTGCAGTATTCCTCAGACGAATCGTTCTTTTGTTTCAGGTTTGGACGCCTGCCCAATCTCGATCCTTATGGGCGACAATTGTCTTTCTTTCAGTATTACCTCATTGATCTATTCCTGTTTGTTGTCGCTGTTCTCGCTATTGGCATTTTTGTTGCTGTTAAAATTTTTAGAGCGTTTTGCTCAGCCAGGGCTAAATCTAAGAAAGAATGAGCTTCACCGAAAAGCTCCATGTATGCGCATATCTTTTGTACAGATGTTTTAATAAAAAATTTCTAATTGTCAGTTAACCAGAATGGTCGAAACCATGAACGCTGCTTGAGCAGTAAGACGGGTTGAGGAGTTTGTCAAATGTTTCTTGAAAGTCAAGGCGCATGTCCTCTTAACCGTTTTTACCGTCACTATCTCTTCCAGTCATTCTGAGTTCCCAATATCAACATAAGTGTAGATTTTCGCCCTCAAAGCCCATGTTAGTGGCCCAATTTGACATGATTAGATGCTACAGTACCCGCCGTAAGTGTTCAAAAAATTACGAAAAAAACGCCGATCCGCGTTTTTTTCGTTTTTCCGTTATAGAGCTGTTCCTGTTGAATTTTTGTATGGATACCCATATATGGCTAGAATCAGCTCGTCGAGCTGTATCCGAGGGTATGCTCATATTCTACGACGTTGGGTTTTGGCCGGCGCCATTTGGCGCCACTTTGCGACACCTTAGCGCCACAACTTTTCTCAACAACATCTGTATAAACTTGCTTACTGGGGCTGTTCAGTGCCCTGTTCACGAAAGTGACATTCATTTCTAGCCGTGGGCGCAATTTGGCGCCGTATTAGGTGCCAATTTGGGGCCACTAGCGCCACATTGGCGACACGACCTTTCCCAAAAAAATCCGTATAAACTTGCATAATGGGGTTTGGGGTTTCTCGGTGCCCTGATCACGAATGTAACATTCATTCCTAGCCATGGCGCCGTTCGGTGCCATTTGGTGCCAATTTGGCGCCATTACTTTTTTCACCAAAATCTTTATGAAACTCGCAGCCTGGTTTGTGGAATGGTCACGTGATCGTCATTTGCAGAGCATACATAAATCACGTGAGCTTGCGGCGCTGGCGGCTCTGTGCTCACCATAGCCGCTTGTTCACGTGATTACTGTATGTCTTTATAGTTCACATTCACGTGACCATTATAACACATACAGTCTGAGCCGACCAAGGCATCGCGCCAAATTGGCACGCAATAGCGCCAAATGGCGCCATGACTGGAAATGAATGTTACTTTCGTGATCAGGGCACCGAGAAACCCCATTATGCAAGTTTATACAGATTTTTTTGGGAAAGGTCGTGTCGCCAAAGTGGCGCTAGTGGCGCCAAATGGCGCCACGGCTAGAAATGAATGTCACTTTCGTGAACAGGGCACTGAATAGCCCCAGTAAGCAAGTTTATACAGATTTTTTTGGGAAAGGTCGTGTCGCCAAAGTGGCGCTAGTGGCGCCAAATTGGCACCTAATGGCGCCAAATGGCGCCACGGCTAGAAATGAATGTCCACTTTCGTGAACAGGGCACTGAATAGCCCCAGTAAGCAAGTTTATACAGATGTTGTTGAGAAAAGTTGTGGCGCTAAGGTGTCGCAAAGTGGCGCCAAATGGCGCCGGCCAAAACCCAATGTCGTAGAATATGAGCATCCCGGCGAGCTGATTCTAGCCATATATGGGTATCCATACAAAAATTCAACAGGAACAGCTCTATAACGGAAAAACGAAAAAAACGCGGATCGGCGTTTTTTTCGTAATTTTTTGAACACTTACGGCGGGTACTGTAAGTGATGAGCAATGACTTTCTTGAAGGCCAGCTTCATGCCCCAGTTCTCGAATTGGCCGTACGGATAAGCTTTCAGTCGGATCTGTGATGTCGACCTAAATTCGAAACAGTGTGGTAACCATGGGCCAAGATCTCTCAAAGGCATGCTCCGCGTGCGTTTGATTTTGTGACGCCTTCGGACCTGGTCCTGTTTCTGTGGCCGTCGCGTCTCGTGAGATTGGAGCCCTGCATGACACAATGGACTTCTGTTCCCTCTACATTGTATCACTTCACCCGTCAGCCCTCTAGAAAGCTAAGCTATGAGGGTACCAGTTGATGTAGATACTGCGCTCCATGGCGGAGGCACAAAAACGAGGTCAGTGTTGCGCCAGCGCTGTCACATCTCTGTACATTACTGACGCCAGCACATAAGACCACTTCCGCCTTCTGGCTAGCTAGACCCACAAGCGTCGCGTGACGCAACCCTTACCGTTACACGCTGAACCCTTACGGTTACATGTCCATTTGAAACGGTCTCTTCAACCCGTCATTCTCCTTGGTCGGACTCTTAGCAAATTTTAACACAGTACGGACGACTATTTTATTTATTTTTTATTTGTTTGCCATATC